TTAAGATGTTCACCAATATTCTCTAGGAACCTATCTACATTTGCATCTTCACATCATTCCAATATGTCCTGATATGTATGATGATTGTATCATATATTTTAAGTTGTAATCTGATTGACATCTATCATTTTAAGATGTTATTGCTGGTGGTTGTATTGAATGACTATTGACCTATAATAATAATAATTATTATATAATAATAATAATAATAATTATTATATTATTATATAATTATAATAATAATTATTCAGAGCTTGCTTTTTAATATAAGCATGGAAAGTTGCATGTACCTGGCATTCCTATAACTTTATAAAGCTTTTAAATCAGGGCACTATTTCTTTTAATTATGTGAGAAAGCAAGTATTTAGAAAATGTATGAATTTGAGTAAACTATATCCTTATGTTAACTATATGTGGAACATAAGCGCATAGAATTGCAAACATTCTTCAAATTTTATCAGAGATATTGATTTTCTTGTCTGTTAAAATGGTTTTAAAAATTCTGGAAAGAAACTTTGTCATTGAAGTATTTAAATACATAGTTATTTTAAAATGATCTTTGTTTATTTGCCACATGGTGAATAGATTTTTTTTTATGTGACTTGAATCTGCATGTGTCTCTGCAAAACATTGCCCTACTGCAAATGTAGGAAATTAGATCCTTTGACGCCTATGGAACTATTCCTTTTTAGACTTTTATGTTACTATTAAATGCCTCGATTCGGGATCTATCAGTACCCATGTACTGTGATGCAAAACTGAAAATGCATTTGCCTTGATATTTGCGAGATTTATGATTACAAGTCAATTTGCTTCATGCTTTATTTTAAAAGTCAATGCAAAAAATGCTCTTTATAATTATTATTATTATTATTATTAATTATTATTATTATTATGATATATAATATCTTCCTTGCAGAAAAATACCATCAAGATTAAAATGATAAAATGTTATTCTCAAATTTCAGTGAACGAAAGAAACCATAGCGCTGTCCACACTTGCGGCATTCGTTGAAATCCCCTAGTTAGACGCGAGCTGCTTGCGATTCGGCCGACAGCACTCTATCCACCTCGTGTCGGTCTTAGAAGCACATCAAAGGGAAGGCGACCATTCAGCGAACACATCAGCCTTCGAATTGGCGCGAAGCAGCTCGCTTGCTCGGCGAATGCCGAATGAGCTGATCGGTTTCTTATATAAATTGTTAACTTCAGTATGACATGCTTCCACCATTGTAAGGTCCTACTTAGGAAGAGTCAGAGTTTGCAACTGTTGTCCAGTTTTAAATATTTTTTTTGCCCTGTTTCCTCTGATAAAAACGATTGCATAGTAATCAGAATATTCCATTCTTCTGTAGTGATTTATGGTTTTTAAGTGGTTACTGTTTACAGTGTTTCTCTCCGCATTACATGTACATACCGAGTAAGTACGTAGTGTTCGTTACGTGCCGACGGGAGCTACAGCTCTCGTTTTTTTCTTCGAACGTTCGTCTGTCCATCTCGAAACCAACTAGCGCCTACCACCATCGTAGATATTTTCAAATGAAGAAAACCCGTTATCTTGTTTCTTGTCGAATCTTTGAGATTTTAAAAAATGCGCCTTAATAAAATTACAATTACAATTATTATTATTATTATTATTATTATTATTATTATTATTATTATTATTATTAACAACAATACAAAGAATAAGCCATGGCAGAGACGATTGCAGCAGCTGTCGTCTGAGCCAAGAAGGCTACAGGTTCATCTCACGGTCAGATTTGTGATTGTCCCTTCACCCCTCATCACTATCACCATCATCATCCTATCACCTCATAATTCAAAATTCAAGATGAAACAACCTTGTCATACTAATGGGCACAGCTGAAAAGCTGATCCCCATAATGACACACATTCATCTCTATCCGAGTAGTATGGTCCGAAATGGTTGATACACAAATAATAATAATAACAACAACAACAACAACAACAAACACAATAGTGGCCTGCAGAAGCAAAAATGCTGATGAGTAAAATCACTCGAAATGGATTTCCATAGAGTAGGAAGCTCACCAATCCTGAACATGCAATAGATTCTTGTGTGTAATATTACAATAAATTAAATATTGTAGCAAAAACAAGTCTTCTTGAATACTGTGATAATACAGTGTAGTGTATATAGATACACAGCACAAAAGTTCTTTATATACCACTAATATCAAAAAGTCAATCCGGGTAGCCAAGATCGCTAGTGTCGTGGCGATCTCAGATCAAAGGATTGCGAGTTTAAATCCCGCGGGCAGCGGGCGTGGATGTATTTGTCATCGCCCCTTCCCCCCTAATCATCATCCTATCACTTTATTAAAGGAGAATTAATAATTCCCTGCACGAGCAGGAGGCCTTTTCCCTTAATAGGATGTACAGTTGACTAATAAAAAAAAAAGTTGCTTCCATAATGCAGCAAATATTTAATTGCAGGAGGCCTATTTCATCAAGCCTTGATGTCATTTAATATTCACAAGCTGTGTCATAAGTAGTGATGTACTGATTATGATAATTCAGACTGAACATAGTTTGGTTTGTCAGAGTAACATAATGAAATATTTGTATTTGCATTTTTCAGTCAAAACCTTAACTGTTTCACTGTTTTTGGATTTTCCCTGATTTCCTAGGTATCTAACAAACACATAGACACTTTTGATATGGGTGGAGGATGTATTGTTTTCTTTGAATTTCTGCTTGCATTGGAAATTAGTAACATACACAATATTAATAAACATTAAAACAAAAAGTAATGCAATTATCATAAATACATTTCAAATGCAGATATGAAAAACGGTATTCAACTTACAGTCACAAGATCAGGGAAGAGTTCACAAAATGTTTTATCCTTCAGATTGAATTCAAGGCTCTGAGCAGCCAACTGCCGCTTCTCAAACTCTGAAGATTCAATGCTGCCTAGTGTGGGGCTCTTTTCAATCTACAAAACAAATGGGAGAAATTAACACATTAATTAAGAATATACATTTTATAATAATGCCTTTTACAACAAAGATACTCATTGAAATTTACAGTAAAAGTGAACCATGGATCCAGTAAGGTTTCTAATTGTCAAAACACGTAAACTGTATGAACTTCTTTACTTGTAAATCATGACAGCAACCAGTTACAAGTGATGCCTATGTTTTCTCAATAACTCTGGTTTCAATTCTATTGTAACCCAATATTTACAATGAACTGCTCATGATCTCAAGTGATATTTATGATGACATAACGTCATATTTCCCTTAATATTTTAACTAAATGTAATCTTAAGAGTGGTGTTTTCTTTATCTTGTATCTCTCTAAGAGTCTTAAATACATCCTATATTCCATTAATTAGTTTGCTTCTTCCACACCACCAAAAATAAACAGCATTAGGCTCACATTTCAAACATATCTACAAATTAAAACTGAAATGAATACTGATGTAGGTGATAACATAATGGACAGTCATAGTTAGTATAAGAAAGCAAATTTAATACATTTCTGAAAGCAGTTAAGAAACAAAACAGAAAATTGCCTGTCTCTGTTATTATTGATTACTATTTGTTTTCACGAGTATGGCCATGGAGATTTTTGAAAGACACAATTATTAAAAATTTTAAGAAATAAAAACACAGAATCACATATAAATTTAAATGTTCATATTTTTTATTAACCAAAACTTTATTGCGCAGGATTTCGACCACATGATTTTTTTCCCCTCATCTTCAGGCTACAATGAATGTACGAAAAATATATTTTTTAACATAAATAATGATTATTGACCTTAAAACAAATGATCCAATTACGGTGAAACACAAGCAATTGATATATAATAACATGTGAAGACTCACCATTTTGAACAAAAAATAATGAATACATTAAACCGAATAAATATCTACACCAGCCCGTGCAAAAGCACATTCAGTATGAGGATGGAATTGCATTAAGAGGATGGAAACGACAATGGGCTGAGACAATTAAGAGGCTGAAGGAAAAGAGGGAGAAGTCTTCAAAACACTGTTAAAAAAAATGTAACAATATTACCTGTAGCCTAAAGATGAGGAAAAATTCATGTTCTTGAAACATCACACAACAAAATTATGGTTAATGAAAAATATAACCTTTTAAATTTATAATTTGTGATTCTGTGCATTTGCTTCTCAAAAATTTTAATAACCGTGTCTGCCGAAAGAATTCTAAGGTCAAACTACACTATTAATAAAAAGGCAACTAACAAGAATGAAAGCACAAGTACCTCTAGTTTGGAATGGAGCTAATGTGAAAAATTACAAATCGCTTTTTATGGAACTTTAATATTTGAGCTTCTCTTTGTTAACAAATCAGTAACCACAACAGGGATCAAACCCGCCAAATTATGTTAGTTTGTTTATTCTTTTACAATCTTTGGACTAGCATTGATATACAGATTTGTCACAGCAGATTACAGAAGTAGCATTGACAGTGTGCAAATAATTTAATATAGACCCAATTTCCAAATGCCATTATTATTGAATTTTAGGAAAACAGTCTGAGTTGACCAAATCTTTCCCAGCTCAATAAACAAAACACACTTTCTCTCCCTTAGTAAACAACATTTGCAAAGCCTATTTAATTTAACCCATTAATGATGTTTTAAACTATTTCTGATAAAATCAAAAACTCATAATTTTATTATATTATAATCTTGACATCATCTTTAAAAATTCAAATTCAATGACAACAAATTCATACAAACAAGTATAGAAAACGCCACAAGTACAAAATAAACAAAAACCAACAAAAAATACAAATTTCACATGCTACTTTTGACAACTCCAATAAATACACACAAATAAATTCACAAACAAAAGAAGTACAAAATAAACCTAGTATAAAATTAAAACATCTTTTACAACTTTTACTTGACATTACAAACTTTTAACTTCATTACTTCAACAATAAAATTTACAAAAAATTTATGTTGACGATGGTGATTATATTTGACAACTAAAAAGGTAATCTTTGGGGGCACCATGTAGATCCTTTGACAGAACTGATTGGGTTTCCATTTAATTATTTGAATGATAGAAATTAGTATTTATGCTAACCGAATTTAAAAAATTATAATTCCCAACAAAACCCAAAAATATCTAAAAGACCTTTTTTTTAATACCTGTTTCATTCCAACCCAAGTACAGGAAATCCCAAATACATGTGTAAAGAACGCACTTACCATGAAACTAAGAAGGCCTGTCAATATTGTAGATACACTCCATGCTGGATTCCAAGTATCTGGATGAAAATCGCTAATCGACAAACAGAGTCTAGTATTTGTTTTGAACCTGATGGAGAAACAAGCACAAGTATGAATAATATAAATTGTATTCAGTAAAACATACACTTAAATAAGAAAAAATTAGAAATTCAACTGTTAATGAATATGGTGTTGACCACAATATAGCAACAATATCACTTTAAAAAAATCAGTTTATAATAACAAAAAGTACTACAGTAAAATACTTTTCCCACCTCATATTCTTGAACTCCTACTCTTGAACATTGTTAAAGTACTTCAATATATGTAATATATTATAGTATATTTTGGGTGTATTAAGGTATATTGTGTACTGTTTGTATGTATTTTAAAGGATAAAGGAATATTCTGTCACTATGAGTTTAAAACTGTACTTCAAATCTGTAAAGATTCTATCACTACTTTGCTTATTTATATAAGGAAGTATTGTACAACAAATCCTACTTTTCAAAACAACACAATAAATTACATGACAACATAAGAAAGAAGTCAAAATTGTATTTTAGACATCATAGCACCAAACTTTAAGAGCAAAGTATTGACTATACGAGACATGTTTATACCCAACCACCTTCTTCAGTAAATTAGAGACGCAAGAATCTTTAAAATCATGGTTCACAAATTCCAGAAGCTCTACTTAAAAATTAAATTAGTAGTATATTGTAACAAAAAGACAAAGGAGCCTAAATGAGTAACATACTAGGATGTCACAAACACTTATTATGTTCCTGACTAAAATTCAGTAAAGGATCTGTATAATTCAGTAATTTATGTAATGTAAATTACATCATTAATATCAAGTATATATAGTATTGCTTTTTACTCTAGTGTAAATATTATACAATTCAGTTCTATTTTTGTTTTAATTGCAGACTTAAAGGAGTACTGTGATGTTTATTACACATAATATATTAGCAACAACTAGTTATTAGTAATATTAAATAATTATTAAAATGCCACATTATTTTGCAAGTTAAAAGTGATTAAGACAATATCAGTACTCTTTCACATTATACAAACCTTATTGTAATGTATGCCACACTTTACAATGGCTCTATATAGAATTTGACGAGTCACCTGTTTTTTGATTAAGGTTGTTGTATAACATGTAATGTAACAATAAATTTCAATTGTATTGAGTGTTTTCTATGTATTGTATTTACATATATCAATATACACTTCATATAAGCAATAAAACACTATATTGTGGTGTATATGCACTAATGTACTTAGACTTTTTACTTAATTTTCATTTTACCTGATTGACCTTTTTTTGTACTAGCCACGTCCTGATCTCTTGAGTGGCAGTTTTGAGGGGTTCTATTATATTATGAGATATGTTATGTTATGTTATTTTTAATTTCACCAAATGCTCTATAGTTTTTTTTTACAAGCACTTAATTTTTTATGTATAAAATCAAAAATGCAATAGATTCAGTGTCATGCAATTTTTTTTTTTCCACCATCACAGATGCAACAATTTGTAAAGGCATAATTTCTGATGACTATTACTAACACCAGATTGTCGTGCAAATCTTAATCATTACACCCTAGACATTTTATTGTCATTCTCAGTCATTACTTAAATTTAATTTTTTCTTGACTTACTTCACAATGTTCTGAAATTATTTTTCATTCTATTCCCCACTTTTTTAGAAGAGGTATTATGAACTTCTCTTTTTATGCAAACTTGAAATTGCGTAACATATTAATAATGTTCCTATCAATACTTTTCAGTTTTCAAACACTCTGTACGATATAAAAACCATGGAATTGAAATTACAGATCAAGAAGTATTACCGGGTTTGTGGGTGATTTTTGTTAATTTAAATACAGAATGATATTTGAATGTCACACTAATCCTTGAATACTGGTAAAGAGCAATGTATTCACTGGTACTTTTTTTTTGACATCTCTGAGTGGTGTGCTAGAATACTATCTCTAGCAGGATAAATTAATTATTTGGATGTAAAAGTGCATGTAATCTCCTTCGGTTAAAATAGAGAACATGTAGTTAAGTAAAAGTTAAAGTAGCAGTAAATTAGTAAACAAATCAAGTAGATAATACATATAGGACATTGATTTTGTAGTTGTTTTCTTACACAACTTTCTTGAGGTCCAAGATAAAAGAATGAAGTATTAAGGAGCCTTGAGAGTTACTGCCTTAAATAAAGTTGTGATGCAATACTATAAAAATTGCTTCAATGTTTAAATAGCATTTCAGAAATGTTTTAATGAAGTTGTTTAGCAATTTTGTAGCTAATTATCTACACACACAAATTTACAATCCACACAAATAAATTTTACTCATCAATAGCAACAAGCAATAAACTTCAATGTTCTACACTTCATAAATTCCTAGAGTTAAATACTTGTAGGTCATTCATGCAATGCATTAACTATTAGCTTACACTACGGTTAATGACATTTATTACTCGACAAGAATAACACGTTTTGATGTTCTCAGGTCAATTTTTAACATATTCTCATATTTTTGAAAAGTTTATTATCATTGTAATTAATAATTAATAAAATATTGATATGTTCTACACATCATATTTATACTTAATATCAAGGTGGTACTGATAATAAAAATACTGTTGGCAATAATAATCTAGTTGTTAAGCCAATTTGCTGTTAATTTTCATAAATCAAAATTACAATATCCCAATACCCTTGAAAAACATACATTTGAATTAATTTTGTACAAATGTCAATCTCAGAAGACAAGACCCTAATGCCTCGGTATGGCTGAGGATTAACTAATTTCCTAGTTTTCAATTCATCTAGATTTTAAAGACATGCAGAAAGAAATCTACCTAAAATATGCAATCAGCACATTCACTGCTTCCTTTCCAGGCTTTGATAAAAAAGAAAGACCATCCTAACCAATAAACAGGGATGCAGTATGCATTTTAAAATACAACTCGGAAAGCAGGAGCTTACATTAGCTTACCTTCCATTAGGTGTAGTCATATAAATACTTGGAGGTTTAAATGGAAATTCTCTGGGAAAGACTAGCTTTCCATGATACAGTCCACCCTCATAAGGTGTGCCTTCTGGACCTTTTACAGCATAATGCCTGAGTAAAAAATAAAAAAAAACACTAATAATATGTGTAGATGTCAACACAATTGGGAGAAATATAATAGACACAAGTAATAGTAGTGTTGTTACCTTTCTTAAAACGTTTACTGTTACTAAAGTTCGATGAAAATTTTACACAAAAATATGTTACTCATATCCTGCTACTCACCATTCTAGAATATTTGAAGGTAACGGCTCAGCTACTACATAGGGTACAGGGTCCTTTTTCAGCCTCAAATAATCTTGCTTCAGACGAGATGTCGCACTACTAGGTTTGCGATTCGACATTTTCGGTTTTAACTCTTCATCACTATAAACAAAATATTCACCACTCGTGATCAACCCGCATCGTACTCTTAACACTTTTACTACAAATTCGTGGTTAACAGAATAAAAATATCGGCATTAATGTCACAATTAGGAAGTGATTGTGCATAAATATTTTCTTAATCTATAAACATTAAGTTCGTCGTAAAAGAATATATGACAAACACAAAATACACTACTGATGAATGCTACCACTACTAAAAAGTCACTGCGAGCATCAAGGTTACAGTAACGGTTACATTAGCTTACACTTACACATTGTTTTAAGACCATTCCACTAGTGATCTATTACAATAAATGCAATGTAATCGTGCGTGCTTTTCTGATCTTTCAATTATTTGCTCACAAAATTTCACACAGACAATATCACTTATGCATTCCGGAAGTGGGATAGTAGAACGCGAACGTCATCTACAGTTAAAACGATGGAATCACGCATAGAAAGGAAGGAAAATATTTCACTCTTTACTACCTCTTAATGAATTGAAAGGCTTCCATGCAGGCACCATGTCAATTACTATGTCTTGCCCAAAAATATCCACATCACAAATTAATGTATTATATTCGATGACAATAGAAGTAAGCCCAGCATACAACGAACTTGTCACTGTCAGTCAACCTACGCAATCAGCTGGGCAACTCCCTATTGGTGGATAGGTAGACAGCAGTAGACAGCGACAGGTCGAGAAAACTCGAGGAGAAGAGAAACAGTGTTGAACGTGTTCTGGGCAGCAATCAACAAAGGTGACGACGTAATGTCGAAGTGTTAATTATTAGAGTAGGCTTCAAAATCAGGCAAAGTGAAGCTGCTTCTAGTGAAATTTGCGCCCTTGCGGGCGCACGCAACAGCGGAGTGCGAAATGTCTTTGCGAGCTATTGGGAATCGTCTTATACAAAATGGTCGAATTTTGCTGCGAAGTTTTAGGCCCTACCGAAAGTCAAGCGACGTGTTGGACGGGCTCTCACGCAAAATTCTCCCGAGGGGAGTTCAAGTAGAAGCTAGTCCTAGCACTGGCAGGGCATCTGCTGGTAGAAATGTCAGCTTTCATGTACATGCACGACAGTTGTTCGTTGATACTGTTTTAAAAAGAGTAACAAATTCATTGGCAGCAGATTTGAGGAGGAGAGCCGCAAAAAGATTGTTGTTCGGAGATTCTGCACCTTTTTTTGCTCTTGTGGGTGTGAGTTTGGCTTCAGGAACTGGTATATTGACAAAAGATGATGAGTTGGAAGGAATATGTTGGGAAATCAGAGTAAGTACTTAGAATTAATTATGACTTGCCTGTTGATTCTTTTAATGTGTCATTTATCTAATTTTTTTGACATATACATAATTGCAGGAAGCGGTATCAAAATTACAATGGAACGTAGAAGTTGATGCTGGAACAGATTATTTTTCAGAGAAGGAGAATATCGGACTGGATTTTTTTGAAATTGGTCCTGCCATAGCTAAAGGTTGCAGTGCTGTTGTTTATGCTGCTCGAAAGAAATGTGGTGAGTATATTCTGGGAATAAAATTAACATAGAGTAATTTATTTCGAGACAACATTTTTAATCAAATAAAGTTATAATTAACATTTGAGTGACACTTGACTGAGACCAATGAGAGGAGTACCATGTGTGAGGTGGGTTGAAATTTTGATTAAAAGTATTACAGTAAGTGTGAAATGATGACAACTCGTTTACTTTGCAGACTCTGAACATGGTATTATTGCTAGGACTGACCTTGATATTTCTACCTATCCCTTTGCCATAAAAATGATGTTTAATTACGATGCTGAATCGAATGCAACCTCTATTTTGAGGGCTATGTATCGAGAAACTGTTCCAGCCAGATGGCATTACACCAATGAAGAATTAAACTCGTGGGAGCAAAGGTATGCCATTTGTCACTGTATTTTATGTAGTTCAGGTAAAGTTAGTTTCAGTTGTTTCTTTTGTAATATATTATTTCACTTTGACAGCCTTTCTGATCGTAAGCTTCCATTACCGCCACATCCAAATGTGGTGGAAATGCATTGTGTGTTTGCTGACAGAGTCCCAGAAATTCCAGGATCTTTTGCAATGTATCCTGATGCTTTACCACCAAGAATCAATCCATCTGGATATGGCCGGAATATGAGCCTTTTTCTTGTTATGAAAAGGTGAGTGTGACATACTTGTAAATAACATTTTCTGGCATAATAATAAAAACCAAATAGTATTGACATGCAGGGTTTTCAACAAATCCACAAGTTTGGGCATTAGATGCTCTTTTGCATGATCTTGTCTGTTCGCTTTGAAGGCGTTTCGACCATCTTGTGGTCTTCCTCAGGGCTGGTATGCCAAGATGCTCTTGACTAAAGTTCTTAAATTCTCTAAATCTTTTTCTGGAACATTCTTCGGTTGTATACTGTCCCAGATTTTGCATCAATCTTATTGTGGGTAGAGCATTTCATCCATTATCCGTACTTCTATCAGATAGTCTAAGAACTGTCAAGGCAACCAGCTGAGATGGCTCAAGGCAATAACTGTTGCCAATATAGTGTCTGAATGGTAAAATCTGGGTTTTGAGTCTCAAAGGTGGTGGACTTTGATTTGAGGAAGCTAGGTGAAATTCAGCTGCGGTCTGGAGGAGAAATTTTGCAGCTGGCTATCATAACTTCAAATGTTCAGAACTCGGCGATTTATTTACAAGTTTTGGTTGATAAATGTTTTCCTCAAAACAAACTATAATTAATAAATTTGCTGTATTCTTGTGAATCGTTTAAAATCACTCAAAATGCTAATGAAGCTGTGATTGTACGAACTTCCTTGACCAGGAGTAAATTCTGTGGGCAGGCCCTGAAGATCTATCAGAAACTCTGAGATTGTAGTCTTGCACAGCTCTAACTGCCTTGTAAGCCTGCCTAAGAGAGGAAAACTGTAGGAATTCGCTTCTTTCACCAAAAGGAGAACAACCTTTGAGTGAGGTCAAATTTATTAGCATCCTTTGTGTGATCACTCCTCAAACACAAGATGTGGTTTCATTCTCAAAGCTGATGTTAGAACTCGTTGCACCTTGAATGAACAAAAGATTCAAATCCTAGAACAGTATGTAGAAATGCTATCTTCTCCCATTTGTGAGAGATGGATAAGATGAACAGGCTTCTAAAAGACTATAATGTGCATGGAGAACTTTGCACCAACACAGTCTAGCCTTACAATCTTTAATTCCCTGTTGTTTTTTTATTGTCACCAGCCAGCAAACAAGGCATGCCTAGATGATCAGAGGTCCAAAAACCAAGAAGTAGTAGTACATAGTGTTAAATTTCACTCTAGAAAAAGTCTTTTAAATAGCCCATAGAATGTTACTTCAGCCTTTTCAATTGTGCCAGTGATTGTCATATTTGATTGGTTCAGTGAAATCTATTCTTTTCAATTTTTCTCTGTAAATAAGGTCTTACAAATCATATTCGAATCATATTTCTTGCTTGTAATTATTAAATCACTTTTGTACACTCAAATTGACATATACAACATCTCTTGTGTAATAAAGTGCATGAAAATGTACTAGATGGTTTTGTGGTACTTTAACTTCTCTAATACTCTCCCAAAGCATAGTTACTTTCATTATTCATTATTGTTTCCATTATTTCAAGAATTTATATATTATTTTGTTGTTTATTGTCTAATTTAAAAAAATCCATTCAAAGAAACAGGAAATTCACTCCTTCACTTCAGGAAATTCTGTGTCTAGGAACTCAAATTTGATGAATAAACCAACTGTAATCTAAAGTAGGCTAAACGAACATGTATTGCTTGTATCATTGCAGGTATGATTGCAGTTTACAACAATATGTGCAAAGTAGAAAACTAAATTTTCGAACCACCACACTACTGCTTGCACAGCTGTTAGAAGCTGTGGCTCATATGAACCGTCACGGAATTGCCCACAGGTATGCTTTGAATACATTCATCATGAAAAATACTGAATTTTCTACACTTTTATGAAGTTGCTTCTGAATATGTATTGTTAATGTGTATTAATAAATTTGTATGTTACAGGGATCTGAAAAGTGATAATATTTTATTGAATCTCTCGGAAGGTGAAGCATACCCACTTTTGGTAATTACAGATTTTGGATGTTGCTTATCTGATAGAGTACACGGGTTACGTTTACCTTACAACTCTCCCGATACAGATAAAGGTGGAAATGCAGCTCTAATGGCACCTGAGGTATTGATAAATGTTGCATGTATTCTTTATAAACACTTTTCAGTTGTTTAATGTAAATTTATACTATCAAAATATTGTCCTCCAGGTGGCTTGTGCAGAAGCTGGTCCTTTCTCTTATCTAAACTATTCCAAGTCTGATGCTTGGGCTGTTGGAGCTATTGCTTATGAAATATTTGGAGAAAAAAATCCCTTCTATTCTGTCTCACATGATAAACCTTTATTAAGGAATACAACATACAACGATGAAGATCTCCCTCCTTTACCAGACAGTATTCCATCAGTTTTGACAAATTTGGTAGCTGGATTATTAATCAGAAATACATCAAAGGTTAGTGGTAATTACAGGATTCTTTCTTTCTCTTGACAATTATTTTAAATGTAGTTTTACAAAATGTTTAATTCTATTCTAGAGGCTGAGTGCAGAAATGGCAGCTACAATTTGTCAGTTGTTTTTGTGGGCACCTAGTGCTTGGTTGCGTTCAAGTCCAGATTTACCCACAACAAACGAGGTATATTGACTGTATTTTATTTCATACGTAATTGCAAGGCTATACTAGAAAATTTGGGGATATCATCTGGGATTGGGGATTTTGAGAAAGTCGGAGTGTTTTTTAAAACTTCTATAGAAATTATGAAACAAATTTAATAAATGTGCTTGTGGTCAGGCTTCCAACCATGTAGTACTTGCGAGAGGCTTAGTATTTTAGTCTGTTTGGTGATGTTGATTCTATTGAAATCATCAGTAATTTGGCTTGATTGTCTTAAATTTCATTGCACTTTAGACTTACGTCTTCATTTCTTGGTCATATCTAGAAGTGGTCTCAAAAATGTTATTGTTCTGTTGGTGATTTGTCTCTTTGAACGCTGATACTTCCCACCCATAAGTTAACATTGATCTTATTTCATGAATTTTAAAAAATTTTCCCAATTGTCTTTTTTATGCTCGTTTATGTTTCCTAAATAGTTATTTTTTATTTGTTATTAAATGTATAATTAAGGAAAATAATTACTAACTTACTGTAATTCAGGACAGGGTTGCTAGATGGGGGAATATTATTTTATTGTAGGGGTTATTAGGGAAAATTCCGTAGTAGTGATGGGGAAAGAGCTCGCTACACGTCAGGCATCCCTGGTTCAGTGATAAAAAAAATCATTATTATTGAAAAATCAATTCTTATAACTAGTAACAAATTTATTTAACTTGCATTTTCAGATCGCATACATTAATTATTCTGTACTTTAAACACTTTTGCACTGTACTGATTTTGTTAATTTTGTAATATGTCAAGAACTTATATTGTTTAACTGTATTCTTTCTCTGAGTTAGTAGTTTTTGAGAAATATGTTAAATATGTTTTGCTCATATTTAGTGTTGAATGTAATGATTAAAATAAAAAATAAAAAAATCTAGATCAGTCTAAAAAATCGAAATTTTAGTGCTGAAAGAGTCAGAATATTTAGAAATTTTAAACCCTCTATAATATTGTGTATGTGTGTGTTTCCTAGGTGTTGCAGTGGCTGTTGTGCCTCACAACTAAAGTATTGTGTGAGGGTCGGCTATTCAACAAGCTTTCTGCAGAGGAGGTCCCCCATTCTGCCAGTTTGGCTCCCAAATCCGAGGCCACCTTGTCTAGTACATCTCTTGCATCAAGTGGCCGCCGAGCTCTGCCGGAGTACCAGCTTATTTCCTCATTTCTTATTAGAGTTAAGCTAAGGCAAGTGAGGGAAGCTCTTAACTGGATTCATAATGTGTAAAGATTTTATCCTCATTTTTGGTGAGCTTAACTCTCATTCAACCACCTTTTGTTTTAGCCAGAATGGCTTTAGGTGACTGATATCGCTTGTTTGTGGTTTACTATTCCATCAAAATTATTTATTTTTTACTTTTTTGTGTATTGCCTTTTTTGTAGCTGCTGATTGAAAATTGAAGTTTTTATATGCTTTGATTTGTAATTCCCATTTGACTCGAAATAATTTGGTTCAGGTCTCGTTTGAATCTGCAGATTTAGAATAGTTCACTAATACAAGGGTTGTCAGAATATTGTGATTATTGAACAGCATTATTGAAAAAATTATTCCTGTAAGATATCAGAATTGTTGTACTTATTGTTAGTTGTATATTTTTTAATTGTACAGTTATGCAATAAAGAATATTTTGTGTTGATTCTTAATTGTTTTCCCAGAATTCTTTTTTTTGTTATTTTGAAAGAATTTCAAGCATTTTTAATGGTTATTTGAGAATAATGGTTGGATACTAAATTTCCAGAAATAGCAGAGAGCATTTGCAAATTTATTTGAAGGAATGTGAACAAGCTACAACAGTTACCAGAGATTGTATACCAGAGACCCAGCAAGCTGTTGTTTTCATCAATTTTTTCCTGTGGTCATTAGTCCCATTAGTGTAGTGAATGTTTTATCCCAGGAGGTGATGGAGATCCTCTCCCAATGGTTGGTGAGATCCAACAACTACTTTACGTTGGTGGTGGT